GTTGTGAAAATTATTAGGTTTTTGATTGAGATGAATGCGCACTGCTGAGGAGTCCCACAATAGGACGAAACGGCCGTCAAGTGCTTCCAGGTTTCCAAAAGTGGTCTAACATCAATCGGTTCATGATCTCAATCAAAAACCTAATAATCTCCACAACTACTATAGTAGTAATCAAAATGTGCTCACTGATGACTAGCTTCGTGTGGGAATTCTCGGAGTTCTGGTGGGAAGCCGTGACCAGTGGAGCTAATTCATGTCGGGTAGAGACAGGTATCTACCTCAGTACAACGGAAGTTGGTCACGCAATTTCGTGGATTGGTTGATGCTAGACACTATTACCATTGGATGCCGGCTCAATGGTCCAGTAGGTTAAGCGTTCGCACACGAAACCGAAGGCCCTGGGTTGGAATCTTGCGAGTGGGGTCGTGGAAGCGTACTGCTGAGAAGTCGCATAATAGGACGAAACGGCCGCCCAGCGCTTCTAGGTTTCCAAAGGTGGTCTAACATCAATCGGTTGATGATCTCAATCATAAACTGGATTTGTTGAGATTTTCAGAATTCGACTTTACATATTTGAATATACAATAAACTTGTCTAGTTTTCTTCAATATACTTATATAAATAATGTTTTAGGAAACAATGTTTTATAATTAATCATTATTAAAAGGATAATCTTACATCGGATGATGAAAACATTTGGTTTATTAGTTTAAAGCTGTATGCACTTCACAACAGATTAGCACTTTCTGTGGGACCTTTAATTATTAAATATGAGTGTTTTAGATGAAATTTTCTCTTTCTTCCACGATAGTGTTGTTTTGTATAGGATCTCATTGTGAAATTTTGATAAGATTTTGTTGAGTCGGCTTTCGGAGAACTTCAACGGAGCCTCCAGATTTGTAGATGGACAGTTATATGAGTATCTCAGAAATATTTGTGACTAATATAAACTCATGTTTTTTTAAAAAATCTCATTTATCAATATACAATCTTCCTATCAAGCGAACGTAACATAAGGATTCATATATGTACACATCATAGCGGAAATCTAGTTGCTAATGATATGAGTATTATGAAGTTAACAATCTGGACAATGATTTACATAACACGTTATCTATTATATGAAATCAATATAACTTTTTACAAAACTGAAAAAATATCAATGGGTTCAATGTGAAACACACAGAATAGTGTCTCATGAATTGAATAACAATAATTTAATTGACTTTTTAATCAGATATTTATCATATCGTTTTTAATCTATAAAACAATCACGGATATTTATTTAAATAAAAGTGTGATGACAATTTGTGTTTTGTTTAAATGTTAGTTATTAACACATTTCACAGGTTGAAATCATGAGTCAATTGAAGCTAGACCACGATGGAAAACCTGGAAGCACTGGACAGCCGTTTCGTCCTGGTATGAGATTCCTCAGCAGTGCGCATCCACGACCCCGCACTCCGCGAGATTCCAACGCAAGACCTATCAGTCTCGCGCCAAGCGCTTAACCAACTAGACCACTGAGCCGGCATCAAATGAATGTTAATGTCTAACTTCAACCAATCCACAAAGTTGCGCCACCGTACACTATTGTCTTCAGTGATCTGATGTCTCACAACAGACCTGGTTGAACTCCACTGGTCACTGTTTCTCACTAGAACTCCAGGAGTATCTCTTGATGTCAGTCACTAGTGAGCAGATGATTATTATCAGAAGTGGTTTTGTGGAGATTTTAGAAATTAACACATTTGTTTGGAAACATGAATAAACTATTTATGGGACTAAAATCACTAAATAAAGAGTGATCTTATCACCACGTTATGTGTTCAGACTTAAAAATAATTGGCGTCTTGGTTGAAGTGGTGTTATCTAGTAGTCTGTTTACACACGCTATCGGTTTGTCTTTGAAGTCACAACAGAAGGGAAATATAAACATGGATTATTATTCTTTATTTTATTAAACAATTTACAAAATCCTATGCTGTTACCTTATCAAACTGACCTATTTATTTGTTTTCTACACGGTAATAAGTGTTCTTAAATCATTCCATATGCCTTGAACAAGAGACTAAACGAGAAATAATTGTTAAGTGACTATCTGCTGAGATGTTTATCTTCAGAAAGATTTTGTTAAAAAATAACAATATATGAGATAACATTGAAACTTTGTAAGCATAGAATTACTACTGCATGATTGTATTACATGTGTATTCCTTATTTTAACAGGAAACTCACATAATATGGAAGGTAATTGTATCCTATAAATGTGTAAGTTCAAAAGGAGACTATTTATAGCTCGAGAGGAAGATGCTGGCTAGATAATGTTCGTTTATTGAACCATTCAGCTCAAAAAATGTAAAATCATCAAAAAGATATAAAAATTTGGCTACTTTTTCATTAGAAAAATATGAAAATAAAAGACTTTTCTTACGTAATGGCTCTCGATATGCTTCATTAACAATGACCCAAGATCATATTTATTTATGACAGTTGTTGTATCGTGATAGGACTAATGAATGGTAATTTTTGGGACCCGTTTATGGACCAATAATATTATGAGTATATTTTTATTGTGTAATTGTTATGTAACTAAACAGTTTCATATTCATGTGCCTCTTATTATGAGCTTTATTTTGACCTATGAACTATTATTGTACGATTTACCATTCATGAACTATTCGCTGTTTGTTAATCTCTACCTCCTTCATTCACAGCCACATCTGACTAATTCTTGTACAAATGTTGTTTCCTATTTTATGGTACGTTGTGGTCGGTTTGATTGGTATATAAACTCAGTATGTTTGAAATATAATGATTCATATCTCAGAGGCTGAAACTTGTGTTCTGGGCTTGACTGGTTAGACTAGGCAGAAAGCAAGACGAATCAGAACTCTAGGTCATTCTTACGTGTTTTACACGTCTTTGATCCGTTCGATAAATTGCTGCCGTCTAATCTACAGTCCACAGTTACAACAACAGTGTACTCATCAAACAAACTCAACATTTCTAAATTTATTAGTCAATCATAATCATTATGTACATAGATCAAAATAGATGTTCATCTAAAATGTACCAACTAACAAATAAAAAAACATATTCTACTTGATGTTAGTAACATTTTCTTTAGTCATAACCTTTTTATTTGCTAATACATATATATGTATAATCATATATCAAGTGTTAAATATTTCATCTACATTTCCATTAATACATTAATTAATAAACCATTTTTTTGTATTTTCAAATCATTTCTCCCCTTTTACTGTGGTTTGTTTACTTCTATGTTGATTTTTTTTTTGGGGGGGGGGGGAAAGTTTGTTATACTACGGTAAATACCACCAAAAAAAAACACTATTGTGCATATATACTGAAATTCTAAATTTAAGGGTTTTCCATCAAATTGATTATGTTAACTAACCCAACTACTAATGAATTCACCCTGAAAGGAATGCAAAGGATACCTAAAAGAAAATAATCTTTTCCACATTTAATAGGTCAATATACAACCTTATAAAGAAACATTCTAAATACCATACATAGTTTGTATGGAACAAATTGATTAACGAAGATATTATATTAAAAGGAAGAAAGGAATATAAATGGTTACATCAGTTTACGATGCTTTAAATTATATTAAGATCAATGAAAAGTATTCAGTAACATTAGAATTAGTATTAACAAGTCTTTTGATAAAAAAATGTTTCTCTTTATGGTTTTAAAATGTCTCATCTGACTAATTCGAAATAAAAATCAATGGTTAAGATCATGGGTTAGTTGAAGCTAGACCACCATGGAAAACCTGGAAGCACTGGACGGCCGTTTCGTCCTATTGTAGGACTCCTTAGCAATGCGCATCCACGACCTCGTCCCTTGCGAGATTCGAACACAGGAACTACTGGTTTTGCGAGCGACCACTTAACCACTAGACCACTGAGTTGGCCGACATCCAACGGTGTTAATGTCTAACTTCAACTAATCCACGAAATTGAGCGACACATCCATCATTGTCTTCAATGAGTTACTATCTCACAACAGATCTGGTTGAACTTCACTGGTCACTATTTCCCACTAGAACTCCAGGATATACCTCGTGAAACCAGTCACTAATGAGCATATAATGAATAATATCATGATCTTAACCATTGAAATTACTACAATCTCTACAAAAACCCATCTGATATAAATAAATACTACAATTTATCTACTCTTGATTGAATATAAGGCAAAGAATAGTCACTTTAATATTTAATATGGTTATCTCATTAAGAGAAATTTGCTAAAAGCAATTATTTTCTAATATTTTGAATTACATTAGTTAATGTCATATAGATGATTGAAAAAATGAAGCCCTTTATTTTAAAAAATGAAAGTAAGTTCAACACGTGCTCCTGTCCCCACCGGGTAATGATTCAATGAATTAATGATCCATTTTATTGTGACGTTATGAGTATGGAACAAAAAATGAATTTCTTTTTGTCTGTTTCGTTGAATAAAACAGATTACTTCTGACTGGATCCGTACAGTGTTACAAAATTAAGTGAAATCGCATATGTTCTAACAAGAAAATTTAGTTTCTCTTAATTAAAATTCGTTACTAAATATGTATGGAGAGTACTCAATTGTATACTCAAGAATCTCAATGTCCGTCGACCTGATACCATGAGCAACAACCCGCTGTGGAAGTGAACAAACCAACTTCCAGCTGGAGAGGAAACTAGGTAAAGACGTTGGAGGTAGATAGGATACACACGAAACTGCATCACTAGACGAGGCCTTACTCGGAGTTCTCAAGACGAGAAGAAAAGAGCCCGACCAAAGAACACAATGTCCGGGAACTGGAGGCATGTATCAAACGAATGAACAGTACTTTGGAACAACTAGAAAGGAGATCCCATGGCAGATCGATGGTCTATGTTCTACTAGATATAACAGCCGTTAGTAAGTAAGTAAAAAGATTGTCCACAAGATGATCATCATAATTACAAATATCTACTTACCGATCAGCTACAGATTTTGTGAAATTTCTTTCCAATATGCCAATAAGTATTGGAAATTTTTGTAAATAGTCTAAATATCGAGTATAAATTGGATAGTCCGAATCAAAAACCACATAAGTCTCATCAAAATAAGCACCTAATAAGCCTGACCAATCGTAAGCATTTCCATTGATATTTAAATCACCAAGTTTAAATTTTTGTGACCATTTTGATGGAGTTGTACTTCGATAAATCTAAGAGTCAAAACAGAATTTAAGGAAAAATAACGGAATATATTATCCAATTTACTGAATGATAGAAATAATCTTTTGTAGGTTTTCAAAATCATTTAGTAACCAATGTATATGTACTTGGATCTAAGAGTTAGCAATTCGATAACATAGGAAGTTTAATAGTAAATATCTTAGTTTCCTTTCTAAACGTATTACCAAAGTGAACTTTGTGTAGATGTGAAGCTTCCAAACGTTTATCATCCAGTATGATCTCATCAAACAATATTAAGTCAGAATCAGTATTCTGTGAAATACTTTAATTAGAGGAATATTATTGTAACTAAGGTCTTTGTTCACGATTAATGTTTGTAATGGATGGATAAAATAGATTATATTATAACATGCTTATTGATTTTATTTTCTTCAGGAGAACTTTTGTTAAATTGTCTAGAAACTGGTCTAATGGTATTGTTCATTGAATGGAAATGAAGTAATTCTTCTAGATAGTTTGAAAAAAGGAAAAAAACAAATATATGAACAATATTTTGTTAGAACATATCAGGTGTATGGTTATTCATTATTTTTTTTCTCATGGTGTCTTAATACAGTCAGATTATTCTGTTCCATTTAAAAGTGTATCGAGTTCAATTATTCTGTGATACTTGGACATGTATTATATGTAATAAAGCAAATTATTTGATTCAGAAAAAAAAAATCCATTTTGAATGATACATAGTGAAAAGTTATAGTATTTCTCTTATAACCAAATTCAAGTAAGATTTTAGCCAAATTTCTGTTGTTTTGTTTATCGTAGGTCTTCTTTTACTTTTTATTGTCTAACTTGATCCATTCTTCTAGAGATCTATTTGATGTTTGTTTTTTTCGATTTTCACACTTCAAACGGTATTAGATTTTTCCGTTTCACTTCTTGTACTGTCTTTCTCACTGCAGTGATGTAGGATATGTCAACTTGTGTGATGCTTATTTGTCCCAAGTCATCCGTCGCCTATGTGTACTTGAGTGGTGTTCTTCATGGATGTACGGGGGTAGAAATTATTGGCTTACTAACACTGGTTACTCCTCATGGAGGAGCACGTGTAGCCCACCAGCATTCCCTATTCAACTCTGTCCTGAGAAATCCTTTCCAGTGCTTTCCAAATTCTATTCATTCTTTTGATATTCGCTTTAAATTCCCTATACGGTGTGTTCTTTGATCTTCCTCTCTTCCAATTTCCTTCAGGATTCCAAGTTAGCGCTTGCCTCATGATGCAGATTGATAATTTTCTCAATGTGTGTCTTATCTACCTCATCATCTTTTCCCAATTTCCTCTTCAACTAGAAGTCCGTTTGTTCTCTCCCACAGTAGACTGTTGATGGTATCCGGTCAACAGGAATTGGGTATCTTTCGTATACAATTGTTTAAAAATATCTGTACATTTTCGATTATGGTTGTGATAGTTATCCAAGTTTCATCTCCACACAATAGAATTAACTGCCTTTGAGTTTGGATTGAAGATTCTGACTTCGGTATTGATTATTAGTTGTTTTGAGATCCATATGTCCTTCAACCGTAGGAATGTGGCCATAGCGATGCTGTCGAGGCATGTGAATGCTTCCATCTCTTCCAGAGTTTATCCATCAAGTGTGTTCTTTGTGTTGTATTTGAGAATCTTGCTTTTTTCCTTGTGTATGTTGAGGTCCACTGCTGCACAGTCATCTGCCACACTAGTTGTATAGACCTGAATTTGTTGATGTGTATGGGATAGAACGGCCAGGTCATTTGAGAAGTCCATATCTTCTAATTGTTTCCAAGATGTCTATTGTATTACGTGCTTTGTCTCAGATGTCGAGGTTTTCATAATCCAGTCAACCCCCAGAAGAAAGAGGAAGGAAGAGATTAAGCAGCCTTGTCTGACTCCGGTCCTCAATCGCAATTCATCTATCACCTGTCCTCCATGCACCACCTGGCACTGTAATCCGTCATATGAATTCCGGATGATTTTGGCAATCTTCTCATCTATATGATAGTGTCAAATAAGGTTACATAAAGTCCTCACTGTCCACACTGTCAAATGCTTCTCATAGTCAATGAAGTAGATGTATAGTGATGAGTTTCATTCAATTCATTGCTCAATAATGATTCGTAGTGTCGTGATTTGATCTGTACACGACTGATGTTTACGAACTCCGGTGTGTTGATCTGGAGCTTGGGCGTCTACTTGATCTTTCATCCGGTTCCGAAACAGTTGCTTCTATGTCCGATTTGAATGATTCAATTGGTATTCTGTCAGGTCATTCTGCTTTCTCACTCTTGATTTGTCTGACGACCATCCTGATTTGCTTAATCGTTGGTAGATTGATATTTATAGGAAGGTCTATGTATACTGCTTCGATGTCAAGGCGATTCGATCGAGGTGACCTATTCAAGAGATCTTTGAAGTGTTCCACCCATCTGTTCCTCTGTTCTTGAGTCTCATTTATCGTCTTGCCTTCTTGTTCCTAGACATGTGCATTCCTGAGCACTTCGCTATTATTGATTGTAGCCAGGAGTAGAACTGATCTTGATCGTCGTCATTGCTATCATTAGTGGGTGCATTACATTGGGTAAAACTCATTGTAATTGCCTCTGTCTTTGTTTTGAGTGGTGCTTTGATGATGATGGATCCATGAGATTCTTTGGACAGCATCAGAGGAACTCCCTTGGTCTGTGGAGCATTTTGCTCCTTGTGACCGGTGTACAGAAGCATCTCTGCCCTACCCAACCTTTTCTGTCCATCTAAGGATGAATGAGATTCGCTGATTGCGAGTGCTGCTGAGCTTTATCTCCTCATTTCGTTAGCTATACGACTGGCTCTTCCGGTCTCCTAGATTGTCCGGACGTTCCACTTACCCATAAAAGTTTTTGCCCTGATTGTTAGAAGGGGCATCAGCCTCATGACTCTCGAAGAATCTCGGCTTTCATCCTGAGGCATCATAATACTCTCTTCAACTCGGACGACAGAGTTTAAACTGGTCGGCGTTTTTTTAGCAATATTTTTTATTACAGGATGTGGTTATGGAACTCACACTCAATCCTCCTCCTTTACCTGGGTTTGGGACCGGTAATAGCCCTAGAAGAGCTGCAGACAGAATTTTAGTATTAGCTCATGATATATCTATCCTTAAAGTATGTTTGAAATTGGTTGAAAATATTGCATTTCATTATTATGCAACCTTTTTATATTTAAGTTATTCTTAAATTACTTAGTTAAATTAGACGTAATTTATAGATTAGATCATATTTGGACAGGTATCATATAACTTGATAGGAATAAACATTTATTGTCATTATTTAAAAAAAAACAGATAAGAGATCATAAATCAGACAAATATGTTCCTCATCTATATAACATACACCTACCTTTTCAGTTGTATATCGTTCTTTTTTATCTTTACAAATATGCATAATTTTAATTTCAGTGGTTGAGATCATGAGTTAACTGAAGCTAGATCCCGACCGAAGCTGCTACCTTGACGTGGTGGTCGGGCTTGCCTATCGTGATGACCCATCCGAGCTATATTGGCTGGAACATATGTTCCTGTAGGTTCTACCATGCCAGGCAGGTCGATTGGTGAACGGTAAGACTAAAAGCAGCAACTCAAAGTCTGAGGGCGAAGTCGTACTGCTGACTGTACAGAGGTGTGACAGCAGTAAGGTGTTTCCTTCGGACAATCAGCATGACAGCGATGCTGCCTTCCCACAAGGAGGGGTGGGGTTAGAAAAGGTCGACCCTAAAAATGTCACACCTCACCTTACCTCACGGATTTCCGTCTCCGGCGGTAAGGCCATCTGAAGAACGGAGCTAACACGTCAAAAACCTTCCACGAAAAGGCCGTGCGCGACCGGCCTCAAGCAGTTGTCCCTTGGGCTCTGCGGTCACGCTCCCAGGTCGTTAAGACCAACACTAATCCAATTTCCTTTTCAGGTTCCTCAAGAAATACCCTTCCACGGTGTGGGCAGCCGGGAAGTGACATCAGCCCTCATACCTGTAACAGCACGCGAGACCAAGTTGGTCACATTCAAATCCTTCCTACACCTAATACCTCTCTTATCTCCATGACTAACCCTCCTCACGTCTCTTTATCACCTCGCACCGCTAGGGCAAACGATTCGAGTACGTGGAACTCTATTCCTGGTCTCCTCAAACCACGCTCTAAACTACACGTAGGAGCTTTTAACTTCCGAACACTGTGCCAAATAGGACAGCAGGCTTCCTTAGCTAGGACTTTAGAATCTCGCGCCATTGATGTGTGTTGCGTCTCCGAAACGCGCATACAGGATCCAAGTAGCATCATTCATTTGACCCCACCATGCCAAAATAAAGAACCGACTCGATTTACGCTTCGTGTATCTGGAAGCCCTGATTCTGCTTCCCGTGGCCTCGCCGGCGTAGGTATAGCATTGAGTCCTAGGGCAGAACTAGCTCTCTTAGAGTGGATCCCAGTAGACAGTCGTTTGTGCGCTGTCCGACTGAACGGAACAGTAAGAATCCGGAAAGATAGGGACACTCGTCGTTGCCTCTTCGTCGTTTCTGTCTATTCTCCCACTGACTGCAGCTCAGATGATGTAAAAGATGAGTTTTACAGAAAGCTTTCGGACCTTCTCCGAAAAGCTAAGCGCTCGGATGTAGTAATAGTGGCCGGTGACTTTAAAGCTCAAGTAGGTAAACTAAGCGATAGAGAAAGACACCTGGGTGGATCTTATAGTATAGTGGCTCAAAGAACAGATAATGGCGACCGTCTGTTGCAGCTATGCTCAGATAATCGCCTGTTCCTTGCAAATACTAACTTTAAGCATAAGGAAAAACATCTTTTAACATGGCGACCCCCTAATTCGTCCCAACGTTGGACCCAAATAGATCACATCGCTATCAGCCACCGATGGAGGGGCTCGATAGAAGACTGTCGCTCATTCTGGAGCACATGCCTAGATTCAGATCATGCTCTAGTACGAGCGCGTATTTGCTTGCGTCTTACTGGACGTAGGAAAACCGCTGCAAGGAAACCTCTTAGGGGCCTACTTAATGATAGTCAAGCTAAGAGTATATTTCAGGAACAACTAGGAAAACAGTTAGGCAGCCATGTATGTGATGCCCACCCCGAGGCAGCATGGAATGATATCCGAAAAGCTGTGGAAACAGCAGTGATATCTGTTAGTAAGGTAAACCAGAAGGTTAGGGAGCAACACTGGATCTCAGCAGCATCTATCGCACTGATAGATGCTCGGAAACTCATTCCACCTGGCTCTGAACATAGTGAAGAGCGGAGTCAGCTTAAGCGCAAACTGACAAGAAGTCTACGCAATGATCGCGAACAGTGGTGGGTAGCGAAAGCAAGAGAGATGGAAAAGGCAACGGCAATAGGTAATAGCAGACAATTGTTTAGACTCGTTAAGGAAACCGGAATTAGGAACCCGACTGTTAGCGAAACAATATCAGAGAAAGATGGACATATTATTCATTCTCAATCCAGGAGATTGGATCGATGGGCAGAACACTTTAGGGATCAGTTCAACTGGCCTTCAGCCACACTTCGGTTTCCCACGATCTCCAGTCAACCTGAATGGCAAGTTAATGTAGGTCCTCCGTCTCTTTATGAAGTTGAAAAAGCCATAGGAAATCTGAAACGAGGGAGAGCAGCAGGCCCTGACAGGTTTACTCCTGAGATTTTTAAGGATGGTGGTCCAGTATTAGCAATGAGATTAACCGAGGTCTTAGGGAGAATTTGGGAACTGGACGTAATCCCATCTGACTGGTCTCAATCACTGATTGTGCCAGTTTATAAGAAAGGACAAAAGTCCTCTTGTGACAATCACAGAGGAATCAGTTTGACTAATATAGTGTCTAAAATATTAGCTTCAATAATACTTCGACGCCTAATCAAAGCTCGTGAAGAGCAGACTCGAGAAAATCAGGCTGGTTTTCGACCTGGACGTGGTTGTATAGATCAGATATTCACACTACGTCAGGTTCTAGAACACAGACACACATTCAGACGCCCCACAATGGTAGTATTTCTTGATCTTAAGGCGGCATTCGACTCTGTTGACCGTGAGGTTCTATGGCAGTGTTTGTCATTGAAAGGAGTACCAAAGAAGTACATTAACCTTATAAAGGCTCTCTACTCGAACACAACTGGTAGAGTGAGAGCTTATGGCGAACTGTCATCAGAATTGATTACCTCAAGTGGTGTTCGTCAGGGCTGTCCACTCTCCCCATTCTTGTTCAACTTTGTGGTCGACGTACTTTTAGAGATAACACTCTCCTCATCTAAATTTTCGGGGGTTGAACTTCTACCGGGAGGTTCACTTGTTGACTTAGAATATGCAGATGACATAGTTTTATTTGGTGAAGACGCTGACAAAATGCAGAGTCTTCTGACCACTCTAAGCAACAATGCAAGCATGTTCGGGATGCGATTCTCTCCCTCGAAATGCAAAATGTTGCTTCAGGATTGGGTTACATCGACACCCGAACTAGTGATAGGGAGTGAAGTAGTTGAGTGTGTCGACCGCTTCACTTATCTTGGAAGTCTCATCAGCCCTTGTGGTCTGGTGTGTGACGAAATCTCAGCACGGATACAGAAGGCTCGACTAGCTTTTGCCAACTTGCGTCATTTATGGCGTAGGCGAGATATCCGTCTACCAACCAAAGGACGTGTTTACTGCGCAGCAGTTCGTTCCGTCCTACTTTATGGCTGTGAAACATGGCCGGTAAGAGTAGAGGATATTCGTAGGTTACTAGTATTTGATCATAGGTGTCTTCGAAGTATTGCTCGTATATCCTGGGACCACCGAGTAAGTAACGCAACTGTTAGGAAACGGGTACTAGGTAAGGATGGCAAATCAATTGATGAAGTAGTGAAACTTCATCAGTTGAGATGGCTGGGACACGTGTTACGTATGCCCAACCACCGACTACCTCGACGTGCTATATTCAGTGGTATAGGAGTAGGTTGGAAGAAAGCTAGGGGCGGCCAGACCAAAACATGGCACAAATCCATGAAGTCACTGACAAGTGGACTGAGTCATGTTGGTAGGTGTAGACTACCTGGTTGGGGACCGCGAGATGATAGCAACCGATGGTTAGAGACCCTGAATGACATGGCTCAAAATCGTTTGCAATGGCGCAGGTGCATCCACTCTCTATGTTCTCCCAAATTCTAATTATCTGAATTCTTCATGCCCCTTTTTTTTTCCTCTTTCCAAATTTACTTCACTGTATTATACTCTTTAAATAACATCTCCAAACCTTAATCTTTCCGATTACTGCTTATACTCTTGCTACCTCTACCACTACGGGATTTGAATCGACCACTGCATCTCTGTGCTAATGTGGTATGGCAACTCGAACTGATGTACGTACGTACTAAGTTCTACGTTGTTACTGACTGACTGAGATCACTATGGGAAACCTGAAAGAACTGGACGGCCGTTTCGTCCTATTGTGGGACTCCTCAGCAATGTGCATCTACGACTTCACCCCCTGCGAGATTCGAACCCAGGACCTATGAGTCTCGCGTGCGAGCGCTTTACCACTAGACCGACATACAATGTTTTCAGTGAGTTACTATCTCACAATAGACCTGGTTGACTCATGATTTCGACTATTGAGATCACTATAATATTTAAAAAACCCTTCTGATATGAAACACATAATTTTAGTTAATTGTTTAGAGTATATTGTGTAAACATTTAATATTTTCTGGTGTAATACTTTGAAATCAACTTGATGACATGAGTTCATTCTTTTTATTCTTCTTCTTCTTCATAATTAATGTCGCATGCATAACATAATAAAAAAGTATATCAAACTATATTACATCACAAGTTAGAAGAATTTTGTGTAACCACTGAAACGCTGAAGTGGATTATTCATTTCCATCATTAAATCCGAATAACTTGATTAGAGAACGAACTAATACTCACAGGATTTTATCTAAAAGAATTTATGAATGCGTACGAAGGAATATGTGAGTTAATGACGCTAGATTACCCGACAGTTTCACATGCAATTATATTATGAGTCTAGATAATTTAGTAGATCCATTTAAACTACGCAAGATACTCAACATTCATTGGTCGGATACCATCAACAACAGCCTTCTGTGGGAGAGAACAAATCAGCTTCCAGCTGAAGAAGAAATTAGGAAAAGACGGTGGAAATGGATAGGACATACATCATGCAAACCATCAAACTGCATGACGAGGCGAGCCTGAAGGGAAGCGGAAAAGAGGAAGGTCAAAGAACACATTACGTCGGGAAATAAAAGCAGATATGAAAAGGATGAATAGGAACTGGAAGGAGCTGGAAAGGATTGCCCAGGACAGGGTTGGATGAAGAATGCTGGTGAGCGGCCTATGCTCCTTCACGAGGAGTAACAGGCGTAAGTAAGTAATTTACACTTTGTGTAATAAGTACACAAAAGGAACAACAAATTAATTAATTTTAATTAAAAAAAGGAAGTGACTTGTTCTTAATCACGATTTCCACTTCCATTCGGTTTACTGTTACTTTCGACCCTGTTTTCATTATATTTTCTGACTTATCACTGTTCTAATGATTCTTCATTTTTTCTTACCATCTTTGATTTTTATTGTACTAAGGTTCACACTGTTCATCTTTGTAAAGTTTCAATTTCCACTTTATTTTTACTGTAAGAATTAGGGTTATTATTACTTAACACTATGGAATTTTATTTACAAACATTAATATGTATATGGGAACTTTAGAGGCTACGAAAATAAGAAAATGAATTCTTGTCAAATGTTGTTAGACAGATGTCAATGAATGATACTAGTACAATATCACTAAATGACTCTTGTTAGAAATGTATATCACTAAATGTAAGGTCTTAAGGTTAACCATTCACTTAGGTTCAATATCTACCTAAAGTGTGAATACATACTGTTGAGCATTCCTATACAAAATTGAAACAGCTATCGATTGTTTCTTGGTCTTCAATCGTTGTCTAACTGAGGATAATCTGTGATGTCAAACTAAGGAAGTAACTCTATCCTATACAATTTATTGTTATTGATTTTTTTAAAAATTGTTACGAATAAGGCTAGTTCTATCTTATATAAAGAATGAAAATCTCAATATACAAGAATACATTTACAAAATTAGACTAACATATTACATACCTTTTGTAACTCACTGGTTACTAGTTTTAGATCATTTGTAAATATTCTTATTCGTTCTTTGTACTCTTCATTTCCATATGGAATGCCAGCGTCTTTGGCCAATACTTCTAGCACACCACTCACATATGTTTTAATCTTGAATAAAAAAACATATAGGAAGAATATATATGTAAAGTACATTTAACGATACTATACTATTGAAATTTATTATGAATGTCAATGTTTGTGAAATGCAATGAATTCACTGTGATTTTATGGTTTTCTCTTTAGTTAAATACAATACAATACTCACAATTGATTGATTACTGGGTGGTGATCAATGTCATGCGTATCTAATCCTTATTAGTGCAGATCGTATGCATGACATTGATCACCACCCAGTGATCAATCAATTGTGATTACATCTCAGTCCGACAGGAGGTTAGTTGCGGCTCGGATAGCTCATTGGTAACGTCTGTGATTGTGAAGCTGGGTGACAGGAGATCGAATCTACTAGGGAGCACCAGTTCCTTCAAAGATTACAGGTACACCTTGCTGACGAGTGCCAAGTAGCACGAAACCCGGGTCCAGGGTTTCTTGTTGAGTACCTACAACCACCATCTAAACAATACAATACTTTATTCAAAGTATTAGCATAGTTTATATTATCAAATTAACTAGCAGTGAGAAAAAAGTAATATCGATGATGGATAAAACCAATGAATTATGAAACTAAAGCTCTAATGACGTTTCGATGGATTATGACTGATATTTCTAGAATATTAACAAATAATAATGTTGTATCAGTATAGTGGTTGTGGAGATTGTTACGTTTTTGACTGAGATCATGAACCGATTTATGATAGACCACCATTGAAAACTGGAAGCACTGAGCGGCCGTTTCGTCCCATTGTGGGACTCCTCAACAGTGCGCACCCACGATCCCGCTCGCGGGATTCGAACCCAGGGCCTTCGGTCTCGCGAGCGAACGCCTAACCTACTGAACCACTGAGCCGGCACCAAATGGTGTTATAACAAGAATAAGAAAAAGATTTATGATTAATTTGGAAGGATAAATTAGGAAGCAAACATTCATTTTGGACAAGAATAAAAATTGGATTGATTTAAATTACCAAGGTAAGTAAATGGTGGCTCTTTTTGAATACAGAGTTAACATTATGAGTTGTGCTATGTGAATTTTCATTAGGCAAGATTATTGTTACTTATCAATGATTTAATTGTGTTTAAACAGTGTTACTTGTTCATCAGGTAGCGTTTAATGAAACTGTACAAAGTGTTTTGTCCCCTAAAGCCAAGATTCATTGATACATTTTTAGTACGTTGTTATCTATCTATTTGCTTTACTACTAATGAAAGATCTTGGCTTTTATCACTGTTTTCTTATTTATTTGTCACTAGGGTACAGTTGTTTCTATAATACTTATCCTCACTTTTCTATTAATGAATGGATAAGTCATATTGTAGATTACTTTACTTCAAATTTGTTTAATCTTTTCAATGAAGAAAAGTCATTAAAAAACAACATTAGAACATGGGCTCAAATAACATCTGACAGGAAGTAACCTCTTTCATTCAAATAGAAAAATTGCTTCTATCTATTATAAAATGTGTTTGTAAAAGTTCACAATAAAATAGACCAAGTTTAGTGATTATTTAATGATGAGTAGTTAGTATTGTGTCATTTTTAAACAGCTTCATAGATACGCTAATCACTAAACAAAAATATCAGGCTTAACACTATAAATGTACCATTCACTTTTATGAAGGAGGGGGTGGGTGGGCTTTATGTATATAGGCTGTATATGTTATTTTATTCTTATCATATAGATTTTACTTGATCGATATTGGTTGGTAACAACAACAACAACGACAACAAAAAACCCCCTTTTTTTTGTATTCAACATTCGATATGATTTGAAGACATTTATTTTTTACAAAATAAAACGGAAGTTACTTCCAATAGTTAACATACATTTTGAATTTCTGTTTCTTTACTGGTTTCAAAAAAGAAAATCATTTTATGAAATAAATAAAAAAAAAGAGGAAAAGAAATGATTTTCAAGTTTTGAATATTCGAATATATCAATCATCTGTTCCGTTACAGGCTTTATAATTAAAAACGTTTTTGTTTTGGAACCTTCTATAAGTAGTACTGTAGTGCGTGCTACTTATATTGATAACGTGAGTTAAAGAACGTAATGTCTGGCAGCAAAAGATGGGAGAAGATCACGAAAGGAAGCGCAAGAACATAATGGAATTTGTAAGAAACCGCATGAACAATGAAATGTGAGACAATGGATTGATGATTACAACAGGAACAGTCCGATTTGATATGATGGATTAATATTTTGCAAAATAACGATTTACTATATGGTTTTTCTGTTCTACCGAGTAACTTTGTAATTTGTGCTCATTACATTTGATTGTGCTCACCCGTGTTCTCGTTCACTACAGTATGAAAATAACGTTCACCAGTAAGTGATGTTACAAGAAGATGTAACTACTTTTCAATGACATTTGTAATGTGTAGTAGTAAATGATTTTGATTTTGCTTCATATAATGGTTTCATTGAATATTAACACTGATTATATCTTTATTGTTTTACTGGGAAGTGAATGATAGTGAAATATTTGGATTTCCGCTTTTTAAATCAACTCTTGTTAATTGGATTTATTTACGCCATGATAAGTTTTAATTTTAACTCACTCGTACAAAAGATGAATATGTTACTATATTGTTGTAATATCGATTCGCGCCCATCACATGGATTAAAGTATATGAGAATATCAGCATTCATTAGGATATGAGCATGTTTATTTAACAAGTCATACATAGACGAAAGATACTTAATGTGTATTTCATCGTTGACAATCTCAATTAAGAACATGTAGGACCGTTGTAAGTTTAGTTGTAGTAATGTGTTGTAACATATTACCCTGCTTACTTTGTGAATGACTACTTATTTCAAACAATTTTCTCAATAATTAGATCTAATAGCTTAAACACTAACATATTTATCAGAAGAGGGTTTTGTGGAGATTTTAATCATTTAATAGTTTAATGGGATTGAACTAATCAGTGTCTTTTATTCTTCTGAATTAAAGCTGCTCAAAAATGAGCTGTCAATACTGCTACAGTGTCACATCAGTACAAGATAAAAATGATCATATTTGTGTGTGTGTGTGTGTGTTAGTTTTGGGGCTCGAACTAATGTTTTTCTAAGGTCAGAGGTTGTAATTAGCAAAACAAATTATATAAGTTTTAGGTTGCTTTTATTGATCGAATGAATAGAGATATAGTGCAAAATCAAAACACGATGTAAAATACGAATGTCTCTTTAAAACGTTATCGATAGTCTATTGGTAAAATAACAATAATTCTAGTTCTAGTGAGAAGCCGTGACTAGTGGAGCTAATTCATGTCGGGTAGAGACAGGTATCTACCTCAGTACAACGGAAGTTGGTAGCGCAATTTCATGCATTGGTTACTGTTAAACACTATCACCATTGGATGCCGGCTCAGTGGTTCAATAGGTTAAGCGTTCACACGCGAAATCGAAGGCCCTGGGTTCGAATCCCGCGACCGGGATGGTGGATGCGAACTCCTGAGGAGTCCAACAACAGGACGAAACGGCCGTTCAATGCTTCCAGGTTTACAAAGGTGTTGATCTAACATCAATCGATTCATGATCTCAGTCAAAAAGTATTGGACTTGTTGACCACTAGTCTAATTAACTCAAAATGATAAATTTATCTCATTCAAACATGTAATTCAATCAATTTATCTTTTTATTGATTAAAAAATAACATGGAAAAGTCAAAGTTTGACTTGGCAACATCCCTCTAACTTCGATAAAATATTCTGATGATATACATTTGAACAAAACAATTAGATCAATAAAATAAATGGAAATGACTTTCAACTTTTTTTTTGTTTTGTTTTACATGATTTAAATCAGATTGTTTTGCTAATGTGGAAATTCAATCAAGTAAATACATTGTGTGAACTAGTATATGCTATTATCAGAATGGGTTTTGTGGAGATTTTCAGAAATTTCATTAGTTGAGACTGATAAGTCTTGCGTTGGAATCTCGCAGGGGGCAAGATCGTGGATGCGCACTGCTGAGGAGTCATACGATAGGACGAAACAGCCGTCCAGTATTGTTCCAGGTTTTCCATGGTGGTCTAGCTTCAATTGACTTATGATTTCAATCAGTGAAATTCATTAATTTATTAAATTAAATTGTAATTGTACTAATTAAATTAACTAAATATAATTCATGTTGACTTGCATTTTATATTGAGATAAATCAGTAAGAAAACAATATCCATGGCTATATGAAATGAATGAATGAATGAGTGAATATGATGATTGTGGGAGTAAAACTGATTGAAATGATGTTATCATGTAGATAGATCAGTTGAGAAATGCATGTTAGTTTTATATACTGCTTTTGTATTTAATAACAAATCTGTGTAACTAATGTCCTTAGTTTGAACTTTGTATGTTACAATAAATTAAATTTAACTGTTTCTCTTTTTATTCATTTTTCGATGTCAAACTAAATGGTGAATGGATGAAATGTTTTTGTAAAATGTGATAATTAGTTTAGATGGTGATTGGAGGTAGTCGACCGAAGACCCTGGACCCGGGTTTCGTGCTACTTAGCACTTGTCAGCAAGGTGTACCTGTAATCTTTGAAGGAACTGGTGCTCCCTGGTAAATTCGATCTCCTGTCACCCATCTTCACAATCAGAGAAGTTACCACTGAGCTATCTGCACTAAATAAGGATTAGACACGCATGACATTGATCACCACCCAGTGATCAATCAATTGTGATGATAATTAGTGTATATCTTTGTACTGATGAACGAATGGTAAGTTTATACATTATTATATAATAAAGCAATAGTAACTCTGCACAAACACACAGATACATTTAAAACCCAGCATAGAAGTATACTTCAAAAGATTTGCAACTTAGTCGGTTTCTCCTATATCGATTTTAAAACTCTACGTAACCTGAGGTTGGCGAGACTATAATATATGGACGAGACAATCAGATTAAGGATAACAGGTCTTAGATTTTAGAGTGGAATTCATTCACTCATTGGGCTAAATAGAGTCTTGGCATTATAGTTAATGTCAGTTCATGATGAGAACCCTAAATCTAATTCCTAACCTTAATCATCAACCATAAATCATAATCCTTATTCTTCAAACTGTTTTAGAACCCTAGTGAGTAGGTATACACTCTCAAGGTCACTTTGGCGTTACTCAATGGTCTTCCATATATTATAGTCACACCCTGAGGTTTTATACAGCGAACTGTAAATTGCATTAACATCTAAATGTATATCTTGTGCAAAATTTATGCGATTATTGATGAATGCATGTTTCACGAGTTATTTATTAAATAATACCTTGATGTTTATGAAGACTTATCAGTTACTTTTCTACCTGCGCAACAGTTGGTGATCTTATTGTAAAGTATTTGCTTAACTCAGTATTTACATGAATATGATTCATGTCTAGTTTAAAATCTGGAAAAGTCTATATATATATATAACTCAACAGTTAGATTTATAAATAGATTGATAGAACCTCAATGTGATCCCTCATATCAGGATTAGTTAAAGAAGCTGTAATGCAAAGACTAAAGGCTACGGCTCTATCAATAGTCAAAGATTTGGATACTTTATGTAAATGACACATTTTTTATCTTGAAGTGAGACAAACTCAAAAGTTGATTGACAACTTTAAAATATGAGTAAACAAGAAACCGAACCACATGAATAAAATATTTAACTACAGTAATAACAACCCAGAATAATAAAAAAAAACTTGTCCTTAGACATTATTCACAATAGCCAAAAGCCACTGTAGTAAAATCCTGACACGGAAAATTGAAGAAATGGGTTTTCAGTCTATCTCACGTAAGAACGGCTATCCTAACAAATTCATCAAGAAATGTTCAGTGAATAAACATATCATTATAAAGGTAACCCTAGAAACTAAGGAACAGATCATCCTATCCCACGTTATAGTTATATTGTAACCAGGTTATCAGAAAACAATATGGTATGATGAATTTATCACATCGTGTACATATTATTATTCTTGTCTTATTTAAGTTTACGAATTAAAACATCTCACGAGAGGTTAGCCATGTTTTAAATAACTCAGTGGTAATATCTCGCATTTTGGAAATGTGATACAGAATGTATCAGATTTACACTGGATTTAAACAAATACTGCTCATCATTATTCTTTGTATTCTATAGTCGATTAATATTAGCAAATATGTGGTATACATTAGAAGTAGAACTTCGTTTTATTTTTAAGCAACGATAGACAGTGGCTAGCAATGGAATCCAGTTTGGCGCGCATTTCGTCCTATTTGGAACTCGTCAGCTGAATGTACCTGCATATCAGAGAGTTGATGTTCACACTGGGACACGAACCCAGTACCATTCGCATCAAACGCCATCGCATTATCCACTGAGCTACTGAGTCCTGATAGCCAACTTGCATACGCACAGTATGCCCATATACCAATAACAAACTGATCAATTGCAGTCTTAAACTTCAATGGGAAGATTCAAGCCAAACAATACCAAGTGAATTAGATTTATTTTGTTATATCGTTTGACAATAACTCACCTTATAATCAGATAAATATCCCATAGCTCCTGAGTCAGGGAACAACTGAAAAACAAAATATCAAAAAAGAAAATAAACGAAATCGTTAAAATGTCATTACATATCCTTTTTAAAGCAATACTCAAGTTTTATAAATTGTAGTGGTTACCGAGGCAGTCGCCACACATTTCAATCGGAAATTATAAAATCATTCATTAAACTACTTCACATATAAAAATCATGACAAACAGGTCATATCGTTTTTGATAGTTTTAAAGTAACTAAAAGTACCCATAGTTCACAACTCTGTTGAACTCATTATTATTATTATTGTTATCATCATCATCATAATGTTAATTCCTGACTGAATAATGGATTATCTTTTTCTTTTGTGGCACTCTGCTGGTTACCTGTAGAATATACTTTCTATGCCTTACCAAAACTTCTTGATCGAGTTAGCTGAGTCGGGGACAACGGACCAGAATAGCGTATTGAATCTCCGAATTCTGAGCCTTCGTTCCATTCTGAATAAGCCGAGTTAGTAGTATCATCCAAGTTAACTAACCTAACAGACACAGATACGTAAAGATTTGTCAAAGTTTTGAAACACCTAATGAAGTGAATCTCTAATTTATAATCTTTTAACACATTCATTCTTTAATTTACTTTTAATGATTGTCATTCACATACTTTACAAGTAATCAAGTGAGAGCCATTTGCGAAATTTTCCATTGTGTTTGAGTAACACTAACCGGTTCGAAGTACAATATTTATGACTTTTTAACTATGGGACTTGAAGAACAAGTAGCTGAAAATAATGATCCTTTCAAAGAAGGTCTTTATATTCAAATATTCATTTTAAAAAATGTGAATTTAGGTGGAGTTTTGTTCTCTGAGCTAAAAAAAAACTAATCAAGATCTCAAAACCACCCATGGAAGAAAACACAAACAGCTGCGTGATTAATTTGTCAAAACAACCACTAACAAATACGGAAGAACACCTACTCCAAAAAGGATTAAACTACAATACAAGCGATGCTTCAAAGCTGGAATTCTTCGTAGCACTAAAGTCATCACTCAAAACTTCCGTAATCAGTGAAGAAACACAACAGGAAATAAGACAAACTATAGTACCGCTAACTCAACAGGTGAAGGAAAATAACCAACTGATTCCACAAGAACAAAAGGCTTTGAAGGAACTCAAAAATAGAAAGGATATTGTCATAATACTAGGACGCACCACATTAGTCATGGACAAAGAAGAATACGTCAAAAAAGCTGAAGAACTACTTAAAGATAAGACCACATACAAACTGATGGATACAAATCCCGTCAAAAAAATCAGACAATCAAATCATAAAGACTTCAAACAATCTAATAAACTAAGACCAAACCATTCAGCTCATAGAACAAAACTCCACCCAAATCATCCATCTAAGCTACAAATCTTCTCCATCATCTCAAAATGTGAATTTAATTAGATAAACCAATCATCTTGTTATTATTTTGTAAATCAATAAATTTGACATTGTTTAGAATACAATTTAATAAAACTTTAAAAAATCTCTCAAATGAAACATGTGCCATGGTATTTATCTTGTTAATCAGTTTTTTTTTTATCATTGATTATGTTCATCAATGAGGATTATTATCTTTGTTCTGTTTATTGATTTATTTATTTTCAGAATGGGTTTTGTGGAGATTTTAGAAATTTCACAGATTGAAATCATGCGTCAGTTGAAGCTAGACCACCATTGAAAACCTGGAAGCACTGGACGGCCGTTTCGTCCTAGTATGGGACTCCTCAGCAGTGCGCATCCACGACCCCGCACCACCCGGGGCTCGAACCCCGGACCTACTGTTGTGAGATAGGAACTCACTGAGGACAATAGTGTACGGTAGCGCAACCTCGTGGATTGGTTGAAGTTAGACATTAACACCGTTGGATGCCGGCTCAGTGGTCTAATGGTTAAGTGCTCGCGCGCGAAGCCAGTAGGTCCTGGGTTCGAGCCCCGGGTGGTGCGGGGTCGTGGATGCGCACTGCTGAGGAGTCCCATACTAGGACGAAACGGCCGTCCAGTGCTTCCAGGTTTTCAATGGTGGTCTAGCTTCAACTGACTCATGATTTCAATCTGTGAAATTTATTTATTAATTATTATTATTATTATCATCATTATTATTATTATTACCATTACTATTATTATTATTACTATTACTATTATTATTACTATTATTATTATTATATTTTTTAATAAGCTTGATTGGTTTACAAGATTTTATTCAACCATATATCTTTCTATAGAATACTTTATTAACATGTATTGCATAACATAAGATATCACATGCTTCCAATGAAACTCTCTTACTGAAAGTTCATTCATTTTCAAATCATTGAAAATAGTTTCTTATAAAACAAAATATATTTTAATAGAAATTGTAGTCACATTAAATGACCTCTGATACTGATATCTGATATGATCATGTGTGTACTGATAACCACGATATTGTTTAACCTCTTATTTCCTTAGTTCGTTCTCTTGACTAAGTTTCTTGTGATTGACCATTATTTATTTATTATTATTAATGGCTTTATTCAATATTATATTTTTGCTACAATATAGAATTCTCAGCACAAAGTATTTCAATAAGTTTCCTTTACAAAACAAAACAAAACGACAACAAAAACAAAAAAAGAAAGGCGATAGTTGAAAAAACAATCTGAAAACTGTACAACTTTTCAAATTAGAGACATGGTTAAGAATGCAGGCTATTGACTAGTTTAACTCTAACAACCTGTTCCTCACAGAATACATTTTCTAGGTAAGGTATTATAGAACTTTTATACTTTTGCTTGCGTGTATGGATTTTAATGTAATTACATCTCGTTCTACCAGAAGATATACAAGGAGAAAGATATGAGTGAAGGGGATGGTTAGTATCTGATAAGATAACACCTACCAAGAGTTTGACTGACTTTACATGTCTATCCACAATCATATTAATTATAACCTCGAAACATTTACCGCACTCTCCGCAATACAGCAAGGTCATTTTCTCAAAAGCCAGGGAAAGAATAATGGAGAACAGTAAAGAACAATAGGTAATATACAAGAATTGACAAATTATAAGAGTAAATGACGAGTAATCTCATGAGCATGCAATCTCTTTATGTAGTAAGTCAGACGGAAAACTTTCTTCGATAACAATAAAACGTGAGAAGACCAAGAGAGATCAGAGGAAAAAGTAACACCATGATAATTAACCTTCGATACTGTGTTTATCAAAGAGTTTCCAATGGCACAAGCATTATGAGATCTGAAAATGTTGTTTAGACTCCGTTCATGTCTCATGCTAAAGTTAACAGATTGACATTTAGACGGATTAAGTATGAGACCATTAACAACAGACCAACATTCAAAACGAGACAAAAACTCATGCATTGCTATGGGATGTTAAGAGGAAGATATAGGCATACATACAGTGAGATCATCCGCATATTTCACAAAAGTGTTTTCTGTGGAAGATTGCAGATCATACAGAAAAAAAGAGAAAAGAAGAAGTGAAAGAATAGCTCTTTGTGGTACACCTTCATGAGACAGTAGAGACTCTGAACACTTTCCTGCAAAAACACAGTGTACTGTTTACTTCCAGAGAGATAGGAACATAGCCAGTTGGTTATCCAGCTGTCAGTGTTAACGCTGATGAACTTTTTAATTAAACGTTGTCTTGATATAGAATGAAAAACTGAAGTGTAGTCCAGGAAAGCGCATCGGACATACTTCATACCCTTTTCTAAGTTGCACACTGTATTGTGATGCCGAACGACAGAACAGCGCAGTTCTGTTTTTAATAATTTGCTGGCAAAAATGAAGCTTCTTTCGAACAAACTGTCTTTAATATTTTACCGACACTTAACATTTATGTGACAATGCGTTTGGATTATCCATACTTTGAAAAGTTGAGTCAACTGAGCTAGTATGTCACTTCATTTATTTGACAAATTCCATAAGCCTTTTTGTTAATGATAAAAGAATGATGACTGGTATGGATTACGCTTATGTATAATATCTAAGATGATAGTAAGATTTACGATAAAAACATGTTGAGATCATGCAAACCAGTAGTCCACAGCTGTTCACTTAAGTTTTTGAAACTTGGCGACATAAGTAGTTTATGGATGTTTGCATACTTTCTGTAGATGACATCAGAACAGCAGTGTGAGTGCTGACTTTAAAAGTATAATCAAGAATAAAACAGGTCACTTTGTGTATTCTTGACCATGTAACGGCTGAGATGATTAAATCACGAGTCATGCTTCAAGGTGAAAGTTAAGAGATGTCAAATAAATGTGTAACAGAAGTCACTGATAGTTTTTTAACGTAGTGGAGACAGTTGAACACCTTTCTACGTTTTAAAAACTTAACAACAAACGTATTAATTGAACAAGTAGTAAAAGCAAGTAAATCTCTAGTCAGTTAATAAAAATCCGGTAAAGTTGATTTCATCACTGTCAAATATTCAGAACAGTTTTAATGTGTTCACAAGTAATTGTAATTTCCAGTTCTTGGTTTTTACGTGAGTGACTTTTAGTCAGTCTCTATTCAGTTTTGAATATCGACAACTGCAAAATCTTAACAATATCCGTCAAAAAAGTTAATGATTTAGCAGCTCATTGGATATTATGTTGACATTCGAAGTGAAAGGTGCATAGTTCGAGTCCCGATGTAAATATCACAACAATGATCCAAGTGTATACAACTGTAGGATCTCAAACAGACCGAAATATGTTCATTATATTCCACTACAAACCACAGTAACAAATTTGCTGTGACTAAAAGTAGTCTATATTTTAAACCATATGTCCTGGTGATATACACCAAACAGAAAACACAATATTCACTTTGCGAGCATACATCATTGATTATTGTAATGTATTGATACATAGCAAAGTTAGGTTAAATTTGACAACCAATGCTAATTTAAGTGAATCAATAATTAAATAGAGTAGAATGAGAAACCCAAATTATATTTTGGTGAATTTGACCAGAAAATTTGATTTTATGCCA